CTGGCGTCCCAAGCCAGTTCTTTACCGTTGCGCCACTCGGCCGGCCCCAGCATCTATTTCTATACTTAAGCTCTATAGCATTTGTATAAAATACACAGAGAATTTCCTCTGTTTTTATAAGATCTACAGTGAAATGTAATATGTTAATACTCCCTCATCCTATTATTTATGAAATATTCTGGGTATACTGTAGGATATACTTCCTTGACCTCTTGTGATTGGTGGAGCCACATGACTAGTTCTGGCCAGTGAGCTATGAGCAGAAGTGACATGCATAAGTTCTAAGCTGGAGCATTTCATTCTTGGCATAAGACCCTCTAGAGTTCCTTTGCCCTCACTAGCTTGACCAGCAGTATTGCTGTTAGTGGCTGCTCCATTAGGCTAGAATGCTAAAGTGAAAAAGATATGAAGCAGAGAGGCAGGTCACCTGGGATTGTCATCAAGTGAGAGCAAGACATGCATTTTTATTAATCTATGGAAGTTTGGGTTGTTGTGTGATTGTTACCACAGCACAACTTAACCTATCTGGATACAATAACATTTACATAAGAAGCGTGATCTGATTCTTGATAAAAATACCTTAAAATTACATACAAACATTTGCACAAGCAAAGGAAGCAAACTTGACTCCAGCATAAAAGAAGAGTGTGGCCCAATTGAATTATAGTTCTCAATCAGAAATCAGAAAGGACTTCAAATAGTGCTTTCTTCAATGGGAATAAAAAATCTGAGCCTTTGATATAGAGTTGGATATCTTATTAAGCAAAATGTACACTGAAAGAATAGGAAAGAAGAGAATCATTTTCTGTCTGATCACTGGCAGTGTTATAGCAGGTTTATTCAATTTATGTAGCACAATAAAAATATATTCTGGAAACTGGGTAAAAGGATAGAGGCAGGTGTTTAATTGTAATAATTGAATGAACAATTACATGGCAGCTCTTTGGCAGATGGTATACATTGAAATGCACTGCTGTACTAATTATTTTCAGTAGCTAACTCTTGAGTTTAAAAATGTGCTCAGTGTTGAAAATCTAAATATAAGTAATATGAACTGCCTGGCATCTTGATGGAAACTGACAATTGAATAGTAGGGGATGAAAAATGGACATGAAGCAGAAATATGCTAAGTGCTCTAAGAGGTGCATACCCAGTGATGTGGTAGGCATGGGTGGGGAGTTTTCGAGAAGGGGGTAAATGGTCCCACGGCTGTGGCTGCTAAGCCATTCCATTGGTACTAACCAGCCATAGAGGCGGCTACTTGATTAGAAAACTGAGGATCAGAGACTGGTTGGTAGTAAGAAGCAACTGAAAGACTAGGCAGAACCATTTTTTCCAGCTTGATAAAAAGTCAACATTATGTTGAGGAAGTGGTCTTTCTTGCCATCCAATCTAAAATCTAGCAGCTCTGTTTCAACCCAAGTACTTCACTACTTCCACACTTTGGTCTATCAATTTGTGGTTTAGGATTTGGCATGAGTTTGCACAGGAGAAGCAAACCAACAAACAGTCCAGGCAAAAGCAAACTCACAACCTATGTAGGAGAGTGGATGTACACTGGATTTAATTCACAGTGTAAAAATAATCACATGGAAACAATGATAAATATGTAATCAAAAACATGTTAGAAACAGAATAAACCATAACAAAAGAACTATTAAAAAAACAGCAGAAAATCTCTGAAACATCTCAGTGACTGCTGTTATACGCTATGACATGCTATTCCTGTGGCTATGCAGAAATAGAGAACGTCCTTTCCTGGAACAACCTATTTTCTGGACATGCAATATCATTGGGCCCCTTGTTGAAGCAGTTAAATTGAATTAACACCTGGTTCATTGTTAGAGCTAGGAGATGTTTATGGCAGTTGGGAGGAGATATCTATTTATAATTCTTCAGTAAGTTACTCCTTCAATAAATTAAAGTTTGATTTTTAAAAAGCAGTCTATCGAAATGTTTAAGAGGATAGTAATGAAAGTATGTTGCCTATAGAACATGCCAAGGGTGACACCAATTCTACCCACATCTATTGGATGGAAGCAAGATGTGCTTTTCTCAGAGTTTATAGTAGGCAAAAAGAAAAAAAAAAGCATTTTTATTTTAACCAGATGTGAACAAATTAAACCCAATATTTTCAAGTATTTTTAGTGCCATATGATGTCATCTGATTTTATATTTTCTACTGAGGGGATATGTGTATTTTTAAAATTGTGAAGCCACTTTCCATGTATGTACTTAAAATTTTATATATGATAAATTACAATAAACAAATTACAACAGTGCAGAGCATGCTCTTGGCTGTTTACGTCAAAAGCACGGAGAGAAATTTCGTTTCTCAATAGGAAATGGAATTAAAAGCACGTGAACGTCTTCGGCTGGTCTTCCAGGTAGTCCTCATTTCAGTGACTATTGTACTTGTCCAAGCAGGTCCAGGCCAAGGATGGCCCCCGCCATGCCCTCCTAATAATATAACCGCCTCTTTGCTGAACTACCAACGAGCAGCCCATGGACGCCAGAAACACTGAGTGCAATAACTTACTACTCATCCAGGGAACCTCAGTTAAAACCCCAGTTTTGAAACAACCAGTTCCTTCCTTTTTTTTTTATTGGTAACATTTTCAATTACAGGCTCACACATGATAACACCCCCATTTTCGCTAACCCAGATAGTGCTGAGTTTCCCAGGGTCGTGGCGTCACTGTTGTCTTCTGGAGCTGGCAAGTGGGTAGGATGCCCCTGAACAGACAGCCCAGAGAACTTGCTTCCTCGCGCTTTCCTCGGAGGCAGCAGCAGGCAAGCAGCCACCTCCTGGAGCAAGCGTGTGGCCCTCAGTGGCTTTGCCGAGTGAACTTCTCCGAGTCATCCCTCCTGGGAAAGAAATTTCTTAAAAAACCATTTAAATCTTTCCAAAGGGCAAAAAACGAGATGGTCGCGAGCCAATGTTACCATAAATGCTTCCACTCTCCCTGAACTCATTTCGGAAATAGGGAAGGAAAGAGGCAGTCATCACGGCTGCCTGGCCGAAGCCTCATCCAGCAGCACGCCCCCCCCCGCCCCCGCCCCAATTAAGAAAGAGACGCTCAAAGGAGGGCTGTTGGTGCTTTAACGTCGTTGAATTAAAAAGCTATTATTGCAGACCTAAGACGTCCCCCTCCATCACCCACACTTGAGCACAAAACCTTCCCAGCAGAACCCACTTGCCATTCCCTCCTTGGCGAAGTCCTCGGGGGTGGGCGAGCTGGGAAAGGGAGGTTCGGGGAAGGGGGGGGGCAGGAACTGGGGCTAAGGACTCCGTGCCAGCGCCTAATACTCTGCCAGCAGCTTCTACAGCCCAGCAGTTTCCCAGGACAGTGCCCACGGTCTGTTTCCCCCCTTTCCCAGTCTCTTTTCCCGGTTTCAGCTGGAACCCTGGAATGGTTTGGGGACCAATGAGGTGGCAGCGGTTGACGCACGGATCACCGTGAGGGGCGATTTCATTTCCAGCGGGAGAGGCCGTGAAGCGGGGNTGATGGTGCCAACTCGGACCAGTGAAGCAACGTCCTCCACAACTAGACTGAAGAACAAAAGGACAGCAACTTGTCTGTTCCCCTTCCCCCAATTCTCCAGCACTGTTCCCATCCCCCCAATTCCCCAATTAAAAAAAACAAACAAAAAAAAACAACTGAAGGTTTGTGGATGAAACTCAACAAGAATGGGCAGACAGTCTCTCAGGGCCAAGGTAAAGAGTGAGCTCAAGTCAACCTCAGGCAGAATTAAGTGCTGACCTGCCAAATGGTGGCCATTCGGTTAAAGTAAGTATAGTTAATTCCAGTCATGGAACTTATACATTGCCGGCCTGAATACAGTTTGAATCCAAAGTTCCTCTAGGTATTCCAGCAGCTTTACAGATGTACTGAACTATTTGTAGGCAACTCGTTATAGAAGAGGAACACAGGGGAAAAGATCATGGCTCCAAATCAGATGATTTACCAAAATCTTTTAGCCCCTTGTGGATAATCTCTTCGTATTTTTGCCCCAGGCTGCCTCAGAACACATGGCAAGACATTCATTTATCTGATCATATTCTTGCACATAGCCTAATTGTTTCCATTTAAAAATACCAACAACAGGGGCGGCCGGTTGGTTAGAGTGCGGTGCTCATAATACCAAGGTTGCCTGTTCGGTTTCCACATGGGCCACTGAGATGCGCCCTCCACAACTGGATTGAAACAACAACCTGACTTGGAACTGATGGGTCCTGGAAAAACACATTGTTCCACAATAAAAAAAATTAAAAAATAAAAATAAAAATACCAGCAACAAAACTTCCATTAATGTGTAAGAATAGGAAAAGCACAGTGATAAGATTAATTGAAATCCCAGGATAAACTAGGTGAATGTGATTAACAACCCATAAAATTTCTTCTATACCAAATCTCTTATTAAAGCTGCTATATTATAAGCAGCTGAACTGCTGAACTTGAATTTCATCTCCCTCCCCAATTCTAACTTTATTAGAAATAAAAATTATGATGAAGTAAAAGGCTAAAACTTGCCTCAAGAAGAGAGAAAAAAAGAAATATTAAAGGAAAAAAATCACTGAAAAGTGAAGAAATGACCATAGAAAAAAGGTCAGGCGAGGAATGCTAAGTTTCTAGTCACACTCGGCTCATGCACACACAGACACATGGGTGCACTAAGGTGATCACTGTCTAAACAAAAAATCAAAGATAAGGGAGGTTGTACAGAGAAGAGGAGATGGGAAGAACATGTGAGCCTATCCTACAGCCTGGTGGAAAACTGGGTAAAGCCATATATTTCTATAATCATCCCTTTCTGTGTGAAACTCGAAAATGTTAAAAACAAAACAAAACTGGGTTCCTAATCATTCTTTGTCAGCCACACTTCTTTACTCTTGTTTTTGTGGTCATTTCAGAACATAAAAGTGCTATACAATTTATACTTCTGTTCA